TCACTATAACGCCTAATATTTTTTATGAGTTATGTCTTAAGAGGAATGGGTTCATGTTAAATGATTGAGTCATGAATGAGGTTAATGGCATGTTGGATGCCACTAGAAGGCTACAAACTTGTGGGTATCTCTGGTGAAATGATATTTTTATATTACTGTAGCATGGGTCAAAACCCAAGTTGGATCGCTCATCTTTAGGACTTTCTTCCAAGATGATGATAGCATACGAAATCTTTGTCTCCTTCATGGACCATATAAACATAATTAAAAAATGTTATTTCTTGGATATTTTTAGTGAGTTCTTTTGCACAGCATTAGCACAATCTTCTCATCATCTTTCTGAAAGGAGAATGTGTTCTTATTGTCATGGATTGTACACCAATCATATTGTCACACCTCCTTAACAATATATGATAGGAATGCATAGAAATGATGTGTCAAACCAATGACAGTTGCGCCGCTTCCATATTTAAATTTGGGAGACCACTTGTTATTCCCATTATTATGGCCATAATTTGGTTTTGCAAACAGAGATGCATGTTTTGTTTGCGAAGTCATGATAACTTTTTTGGGATTTTTTTAGGCATTGAATCTTGAGATTTATGATTCGTTTATGATGACTTTTTATTACTTTGTAAAGATGTTTTTTAATACAAAAATCACTTGAAACTAGGAAAAATATAATGTTCTATAATTATCCTTAAGTTATCATTGCTTGAGCATCATTACTGACTTCACTTAATTACACTAAATTACATAATGTTCAATACTATGATAATTAAAGCAAAATTAAGTTTCTTGGATGCAATCATGAAAAAAATCAACCAATTATAAACTTTTATGGTTTAATAATAGCATACTTCATCATGAGTTGTTCAAAAATAGTGGTGCACTTCTCAACAAAAAACTTCTATCAATTAAAAATTATAGAGTAAGGAAGATGGCCTATCAATAATAAATACTTCAGATGTAATTTTTCACTCTTTTTTTTCTCATATAATAATCTTGCTTTTTCTTTCCCAAATGAATTGTCATTTCACTTTCTCTCATCATAAGGATGAACTCTTTTTAAGTTTGAAAGCAAGAAACTTGACCTTGAGTTCATATGGGGCATTTCTTAATTTGTTTTCGAACACTTTCAAAAAAAACTTTAAAAGCTATAAAAAATTTACCGCTAGCTTCTCTTCGTCAAATAAATAGTCGCAATCAATCTCGCATCAAGCCCAACTGCCTCCGTTCGTGCCCTAGTTCGAAAATGTAAATACAACAGGTGCACAGTGGTTGATAAACTACTATAATTAAATTTCTAACGTTTTAAACCGCTGCCATTGATTAATAAAAGCACCACTATTGCCATAAATAAAAGTTGTGAATTTCCACCACAAAATAGTAAAAAATGATGTTCCAAATTACACCCAAGTGGAATGGATCTTCCTCCTCCGCTCGCCGCTAGGTGTTTAGCAAGCTCTCTCTACGTACATATAAACAGCAAAGCATCATTGGTGTCGCTACATCTCATGTTGTATGCCTCTCACTATAAAAAAATAAGGTAATCGCAGCACAAATTTTGATCTATCGCGGTGGTTTTAACCGCCACAATTTTCTTTGCAGCGGTTGTAAAACCGCTACGAATACGATTGAAAGCTATGCCTAAATATATAACAATGATATAAAAAATAGGGAACAAAACACATAAAGAAAAATGCAGATTTACATGAAAAGTCCTAGACCAAAAAAAAAGAACATAAGTAAAGGAAAAATAATTCACTGTCAAAAATGGTACAAGAGAACAGTGGCAGCTCACATACAATATTTGATGTGTCCTTGCGTGAGGAGAATACCGATCAAAATGCGAGCGGGATGTGCGATTTGATCCTCTCCGATAGTGCGACACTCCATTCTCTGATCCGCTTGAGTCGCGCGCAGGAGGGAGAAGAGGGATCGAAGACGAACCTCGAATGGTCCGCTTGAGTCGCGCGCAGGAAGGAGAAGAGTTCGGAGACGAACCCTCGAATGCTCCGCTTAAGTCGCGCGCAAGAACGAGAAAGCTAGGGATCGAGTCACGCGCAGGAACGAGAAAGCTAGGGTTCGGAGACAATCGCGAAGTTTAGTTTCGCGCGCATATATTGGGAATTAGGGCTTAAGCGGGATATTAAATGAGGATTATTTGCATCGGTTAAAACCGGTGCAAAAAGCACCGGCTAAAACCGGCGCTAAAAGAGATATTTAGAAGCGGTTCTAAAACCGCTCATAATAAGTGTTATGAAAAATCTAACTTTTTAGTAGGGTCTCATGAAAGTTTACACATAGGACCTGCTGGACGGTTTCATTGATGCATCTCTCAAGAGGTAGAGAGGTAGCCAACTTTAGCTTCCTTTCCTTCCCGCTGGCTTCAGGTTGGCAAATGTAATATTAAGTAATGCCATCGCCTTGCCGTGTTACATTGGTGTCTTCTAACGTTTGCTCCTTCGCATGCTCGGCTGAAGTCAAAACAAGCATGAAATAAAATAAAATATAATATAAAAAAAAAGACTAATTATTTGAAGATAACACACGAAATGCATATGAAACCTTATAAATATGAAGCAATATAATTTTGTTCAATCATTCCTACTGCTTGCTGCATCAACCGGCCATGGCTGCCGAGGCGAACGGTGAACGACCGGAGGGTTTCGGACCTCAATCCAAGACCGTTGTACCCGACAACAATACAAGTTCTCCAGAAGTTGAGCTTGAGGTCTCCGAGAAGAAAGGTTTTTTTTTTTTCATATTATATCTTATATGCGTTGTGTTAGATTTCAGAATCATCCTGGAGTTAATTTAGTCTTAAGAGTATATATCAAATTTCTTTAATTTACTTTGGCCATTAAGTATAAAAATTGACCTAAAAAGGTCAATCATGGAATGAATTCAGATCAATTTTGTATTGTCGCGGGCTATAATATACCTGGCGATAACGTTTGAATCTTTTGTCTTAGCGTTGTACGGATATTCAACACAAAAAAAAAGAAGAAAACACTAGAATTTTTACGTGGAAACCCTTGTAAAAGAAAAAAATCATAGGGCCACGCCAAGTTCAAATGATTCTACTAGTATTTGAATAAATTACAAGTGACCGTCCTTGAAATTGTGGACGATCATATTACAATAAGCAATTATCGGGTTAAAACCTACTTATGAACATAGATCGAAAATCTGAGAACGTTTGGTAGTCAGGCGGAAATCCGGCTTCAATTGACGATAGGGAGAAAACCCAGCATTAGTCGATAGTCAGGGTAAAGTCCAGTGTCAATCAACAATCGGAGGGATGTCCAGCGTGAGTCCGAGGCAAGGCAAAATTCTGGCCTACGTTGGTGGTGGGCGGAAGTCTGACGATAGTCGGTGGCTGGGTGGAAGTCCGGTGGTGATTGATGAGGAGTCTATTGGCAAGATAACTCTTTTCTTATGTTCCTTCCTTAGTCCCCCCTCCATGAAGAACGAATGGTTTATTTATAGTTTTCTGAGAGTGACATGACCAGCAAATAGGAGGAAGATCAAGAGTAAGTTATGAGTGATTTGAATGGACGGCAGATGTTGATCCCCTTAATTATGGATCGTTTACTAGGCATTTGAATATATGAATGATATCATAATTCAGTGATCTTGGGCTTGTTGGATTCGTCTCGTCTAGCCGCTCGATTCCACTATAAGCATGTCATGTTTGAAAGTCAATTGATCATCCAATTTATCATTTGGACTCTCCAAATGCACTTCGGGTCTTCAATTTGGGCTCAAATTGAGTTGAATTTTGTGTCGTTGGGTTCATATTTTTGATACGCTCAATTCGACTATAAGTCTGCTGAAATCTTCTGGACTTTACCCTTGCTCAACAAAATTTTCTTATTTTTTTTAAATAATTTTCTAGTATAAATTTTTTGAACGAGAACATTTTGTACCAAAATTTTTTTAGAAAGCATTAAGAAAACTGTCTCAAATAAAACCTGAGTCAGCTCACTCATTATGATAGAGAAAATATTTTAATTTAAATAATTAATATAATAAAATAGTAAAACTCCTAAATTTTAATATATTTTTAATGTAATTTATATTAATACTGTTTAAATAAGTCAGCTCTTGAGCTAACAGGTCAAGACAGAATAGATTCAAATTTGACTCATTAGCTCATTGACTTCAACTCAGAAGTTTTTTATTGAGCCAAACTGACTTTGTCACTCCTAAAGATAAATTATTCATTCCTAGTAAGAAAAAGTTTCTTAAGGAATTCCTATATACGTTCCATCTCAAAACAATTGCTTATTCAAACGGACAAAGACGTTACCCAATTGACTAAGCTCTGAACTTTTGATTACCATTTTTTTAATGTATAATTCTTATTACTATATTTGATATTGATTTTCTTAAAATAGGACAAAGTACAAAGTCAACTAATATAATTTTTTCTTTCAAGGATAAGTTATTTAACGTATGAGAACGGTCAACAAAAGCTGATCTATTGTACAGGGTTACATACAAATAGTGATTATTTTACATGTCTTAGGCTTCATTTAGGAAGAAATTATTACATCCGGTCAAAAACCGAACTGTCCGAATGTATACCGAGCAATACCGAGTCCAAAATACCGAGTTTTAGGTGACGTGACGCGTGGTTATTGGTCTCTGAACGCATTCAGACACCGGATGTAATAATTGCTCTCATTTAGGACAGCTTTTTTATTGCTTCTTAAAACATATTATTATTATTTTTTTAAGCAATTTTTTATTTTTTTTAAATTTAATACTAAAAAGTGCTTTAAAAAGCAATGAAAAGCTATCCCAAATGAAACTTTAACTATCTAGAATTCTCGATATCAGTTCAGTTGGTCATCATCTTAATATGACACCACACTAAAAATTAAAAACACATATAAAATGTAAAGGCTAACTAAACAGTCCCTTAATATCTTAAGGATCTTCAGTGATATTCTTATTCAATTAGTCACTTATTGCTTAACCTGAAGTTTTATTTATTTTATCACTTTGCAGACAAAGAGGAAGACATTATTGACGATAACAGCCCTATTGAGCAAGTCAGATTGACAGTACCAACAACAGATGATCCCAGCCTACCAGCACTAACATTTAGGACATGGATTTTAGGGATGACTTCATGTGCACTTCTTGCATTTCTGAATCAGTTCTTCGGCTACAGACAGAATCCTCTCTACATCTCTTCTGTATCAGCTCAGATTGCAGTTCTTCCATTAGGGAAATTAATGGCTGCTTATCTCCCCACAAAGCCAATCAGGCTTCCATGGCTTGGCTGGTCCTTCACACTAAACCCAGGACCTTTCAATCTCAAGGAACATGTTCTGATCACCATCTTTGCAAATTCTGGATCCAACTCTGTTTATGCTGTGAATATTGTCACCATTGTCAAGGCTTTCTACCATAGAAAGCTTCATCCTCTTGGAGCTATGCTTTTGACTCAAACCACACAGGTATATCTGATCTTATCATATAATTTGCAGAAGATTTTCAAGAGTTAAAGCAGTTAAGAAGAGTATTGCAGAAGAAATTTCTTGCAGGAAATAGTTTTAATGACAAAAGTTTTTTTTAAAAATATTTTTCTAGTAAACAAAAATAAGAAAGAAATGAAGTTCTGCATATTTTAATCCTAGTATTACGTTTTGTTCTTGCTTAGATGATGGGGTATGGCTGGGCAGGCATCTTCAGAAAGTTTTTGGTGGATTCACCTCATATGTGGTGGCCATCCAATTTGGTTCAGGTCTCCTTATTTAGGTATTTAACCCTTTCTTTTGCTTGATTATTGTTAATGGCAGTACTTTCATCTTATGCTTCCAAAAATTATAAAAATATTCATAGAAATTAGGCTTTTCCAATGTATTTTTGAACATATTAAACTAAACACAAAACTATTATAATCATTGAAACCACTAAAGCCAAAACCTACATAGTAGAGCTGAACCCCAAATCCACAAAGATTTTAATGACTTTGATTCTCAACTTATTTGTTTTACTGTGTATAATTTGTTGGATACGATAGTGTATTACTATATAATGCAAATAAAATATTTAAATGCAGATGTTCCATACAATGTAATAGAGAAAAATATATAGTAAAACATAAAACTTGCATGGCTTTTATGTTTTTTATTATGCACTTTCGTTTGGTGTGGTTTTGTGTGAACTAAAGTGCTAAACAGATGCAAATGACAGGGCACTACATGAAGATGAGAAGAGACCGAAGAGAGGCCTGACCAGGCTACAGTTCTTCCTCACAGTCTTCATCACAAGCTTTTCATACTACATAGTCCCCAACTATTTCTTCCCTTCCATCACAGCCCTCTCTTTCATCTGCTGGATCTGGAAGAGCTCCGTCACAATGCAGCAAGTAGGCTCAGGCCTTTATGGTCTTGGCGTCGGCTCCTTTGCCGTCGATTGGTCCACCATTGCTGGTTTCCTCGGCAGCCCTTTAGCAACGCCAGGCTTTGCCATCATCAACGTCTTGTTCGGTTTCTGCGTTGTGCTTTATGTTATCATACCAATAGCTTACTGGAACAATGCATACCATGCAAAGAACTTTCCAATATTTTCTTCCAATGTGTTCATGAGCAATGGAACCCTGTATGATGTGAACAAGATCTTGGATAAATCAACATTCAGTTTTGATCAGGAGAAGTATAATGAGGCTGGACCACTAAATCTCAGCATCTTCTTTGTTATTACTTATGGACTCAGCTTTGCTACTCTTGCTGCCACACTTTCTCATGTTTCCTTGTTTCATGGAAGGTAATTAGGTTTGAATGTTTCTCCTACTTACATACAATTTGAAATCGAACCTGTTATATAAGACAATTACATGCAAATTGCAGAGAAATATGGGATCAGACAAAGGCAGCAATGCAAGATAAATTTGGAGATGTGCATACAAGGCTGATGAAGAAGAACTATGAAGCTGTGCCTCAATGGTGGTTCTACAGCATTCTGTTCATGATGGTTGGTCTTGCCATTTTTGCTTGTGAAGGATTTGGAAAGCAGCTACAGCTTCCTTACTGGGGAGTTCTGCTTGCTGCAGGCCTGGCTCTTGTTTTTACCCTTCCAATCGGAGTCATTACAGCCACAACAAATCAAGTTAGTTTATGATCATTTATACTATTATTTTCTCTTACATATATAGCTGAAGAATATTAAAAATGAAGAACGATTTTTTTTTTTTTCCTTTTTTTTTTTCAGCAACCAGGGCTTAATGTTCTCACAGAACTTATAATTGGATACATATACCCTGGAAGGCCACTTGCTAACGTTGCTTTCAAGACATATGGCTATATTAGCATGACTCAAGCAATCACCTTCCTTGCAGATTTCAAGCTAGGCCATTACATGAAGATTCCACCAAAGTCCATGTTTTTGGTTCAGGTAATGCATAGATCTTGTATTTTATTGTACAAGATCTGTTAAATCTCTCTATTTATAGGATTTAAAAGATGTAAGAATTTCTCCCTCACATAATTCTTAAATTTTAAAATAAATAATCAAATAATTTATCTGACTTTCAGAAAATTTTATGGTTGTCATACAAAAATAACTTTCAGATTTGAACTCTCTCAAAATTTACTAAACCTGATTTTACAGATTTTACTAATCCCATTTGAGTTAAATACTAATCGTAGCCAAACGGCCCCAAAGCCATCAAAATCAGAACTTTCACGATGAGAACAAAATCAAAATCAAAATCGAAACCGAGTAAAAAACTTGATTGCATGTTTGCAGAATAACATCATCATCAGGGAAAGTAATCATAAATTACCTCTGTGGATTTTCAGCTGGTAGGCACCATCGTGGCCTCCTCCGTCTACTTCGGCACCGCCTGGTGGCTTCTTGAAACAATCGAAAACATCTGCGACCCATCAAAGCTCCCCGAAGGCAGCCCCTGGACTTGCCCCGGCGATACCGTCTTCTTCAACGCTTCCATCATCTGGGGCGTCGTCGCTCCTCGCCGCATGTTCGGCAATCTCGGCCTCTACACCAAAATGAACTACTTCTTCCTCATCGGCATCATTGCCCCCTTCCCCATCTGGCTCCTCTACCGCTTATACCCCAACAAGAAATGGCTCAGACTCATCAACATGCCCATCATCCTCGGCGCCACAAGCGCAATGCCGCCGGCCAGGGCGGTTAATTACATCATGTGGGGGACGGTGGGAATCTTCTTTAGCTTTGTGGTTTACAGGAGGTATAAAGGGTGGTGGGCGAGGCATAACTATGTTTTATCGGCGGGATTGGATGCTGGAGTGGCGTTCATGGCGACTCTGACTTATTTTTCTCTGCAAATTAAGAATATTGATGGGGTGAATTGGTGGGGGTTGCCGTTGAACGATCATTGCCCTTTGGCGAGTTGTCCGACCGCTCCGGGGGTGAAGGTTCCGAACTGTCCTGTGCATTAGGATTAAGGCATTTCGTCGAACAGTTGGCGGGCGAGTATACAGGAATGTGTTTACACCAGTTCATTGTGTTTTATTTTTGTTGCTCTTGTATTTAGAATATATTGACACACTCGAATGCTGAAAGTCCGTAATTTTTTTTTGCAATGATGTTTTTGAGGGATTTACATAAATACCACTTTATTTTATGCTATTTACAAGTTTAACACTTAAAACATTAATATTACATGCGTATCACCCATATACAATTTTAATATCAAATATATCACTTATATATTTCATTCATATCACTCATACCTAAGGCTTTGAAAACTGGGCCGGACAATAAATTGAAAGAAGAAGAGGTTCATGGTTGGAACGATTCGACCGGTTCAACCGGAATCAAACTGAATGACGTAATAAATAATAATATTATTAAAAATTAATAAAATTAATATAATAAAATGATGATCTAATCTTAAACCTAAACACAAATTCATCATATCATATAGATCTAATATCCAAATTAAAAATGAGTTGTAGGTTTAAAATCACATTTTATAAACAATATAATTCATATTTAATATAAAATTAGTTTACATATATATTTTTAAATTTAATATAAATTTCAAATTTATTTTATATTTGCAGATATAATTTATAACTATGAAAATTATACAAATTTATATTATAAAATTATATCTATAAATTAATGTTATACTATTCAATATTAAAATATAGATAAAAAGTTAAAAAATATTATATTTGATAATAAAATAAAATTAAAAAAAAGATAAAAATTAATTTCTTTATTAGATTTAAACGAGAATTTGACTTTTAATAGGACACAATGGAGAAAAAGGATTCATGTAGTTGACCCCACATAGTGGGATAAAGGCTTGATGTTGTTGTTGTATTAAATTATATATATATGGCCATTTTCATGCAGCAATGGACCAAATTTTGTTATTTATATTACCATTTTTTTCTTCTTCTTTCATGTTAGAAAGAGCTACAAGGAGAATTTTCATCATTGATAGTTGTCTTTCATGCCACAATAGTAGCATTAGGGCATCTCCAACGGAGAACTCCATTTTTTACGGCAAAAAACAGTAAAACTCCAAAATGCCGTGGTGCTGCTCCAATCGAACGACATTTTATGTGCTTTTGAGAAGGTAACGATCCTTCTCCCTTTCGCGCGTTCTTTCGGTTGAGAGAGCAAAATAGCATAGGTGAACAGTGCAACGCCTTCACCCGCAAGTAAATGACGGAAAATTTGGCGTTCGGCTGCAGGGACCTGTGGGTCTCCGAAAGGATTCCGCTTGTGTAGTTCGAATGCAAAGAGTACGATCACACTATCCCGTAGGACAAAATGGTCGTAGGCCTTTACAATCGACACAAGCAGGCCGATGGAAGAGCAGATGGAGTTATAGATACGATTAGCCATGGAGGATAGCAATTTTTTCACCTACGCACTTCGATGGATAATAATATCTATAACCCTAAATTCACGAGATTTCCCCCATTCGATACATCAGCTCGAATGGGGTTTATTTGATTGTGGGGATCGGTTTCCTACGGGCGCAAGCCCCCGTAGTTAATTACATCTTAGACCTTGATCTAAGAAGACTCTCGATTAAGGACGTTAGATTATCTCCTCTAAAGTGGGTTTAGTGCAAGGGATTTCTAGGTTTTCCTAATCAAAGGGGAATGTCCCAACTTGGCTCGATCAGTCATACAGGGTTCAGTCAACATCCGGCCGGCTAGGAGAAGTGAAAACTGGAGAAAAGAAAGAGGGACAACGCACTCAGACATGCACGAGAGAAAGAGGGAGGTGGCGTCATCTGTGTGACGCGGATGGATAGGATTTATAGCCTCTGGAAAAGTAGAGAACTAACCCACCAATAAGGTGTGTAGAGGTACACTCGTACCACTCACCTTTAGACCCTAAATCTATAAAAGATGTAGTGTTGTACAAACAACGCTAACATCTACGACCTAACTAATGCAGTCTGGACTTATTCCTTGTCTAACGAAGGAGGCCAGCTAAATCCACCTAATCGTGTCAAATCCATGCTGTTCAGTCCGTATGAAGAAGGGTGGGTAGTTTAGACACTGAAATTTGGGATCGACCACTAGAGAGATTCCTAAGTGATCCCACACTTATGAGTGGTACAATGATTCTAAAACTAATACAATTAAATTTTAATTTTAATTAGTTACTAATGCAATTTATGCTGGTTAAAGTCTCCAAATCAGATATGTATGAATTTTAAAAAGGCTTATAGAAAAATAATTTTTTAAATGACTAAACTTCCCCAGGTCCGGCACTTCATCCTCATAGGCCAGATTATCCGGACTCTACCCGCAGGCGGGGAAGCTTGTCTAAAAGAAAAGAGAATGCGTGCATGCCACCCCGGACGGTTCCGGCTATTCCCTAGAGTCGTTATGTTTCTATGTGAATTAATCTTAAATTTTTATTTAATAATTACGAGTATAAAATTTTTATCCCTAAAGAGCCTAGCGGTCAGACACAAGCACATGCAAGAAAGGAACCTATGAAAAACATGTCATTTCTAATGCGCAAACAAAGTAAGTAAATCACAACACAGAAACAAAATCCCACGAAAAGAGTATCCATGGCAAGTGCTATACAATATTACATCACAGAGTACAGTAAGTAAAGGTGGCCGGGTTCCACCGATAACAACCCGGAAACGACACAAATCTTAAAATAAGGCATTTTTATATTTCTTCAGTCTTCTTCTTCTCTTCCTTGATTCGTCTTTGGATCGTCTTCGTTCTTCCTTCTGGCTCCTCGTAGTGACTCCTCCAAAAGGATACCCAAATGAAAAAGGAAACCCCCTGTAGGGGTTTACTTTTCCCTTTGGACTCCTCGTAGTGAGTGCTCCAAAAGGATATCCAAATGAAAAAGGAAACCCCTTGTAGGGGTTTACTTTTCCCTTTGGATTGGTGGTTAGCTGGCTCCCCAATCCAGGCCGGGGTAAGTCCAGATTTGCATTTCATTAGTTAGGTTCGGGTCACTATTTTATAGTACCCAAATTAGATTTAGGTTCTGAGGCAGATTCTTTTTAGATCTTAAGTCCTCACCCTCCAGGAATATAAATCCCAAATTTCTAATAAAATGTCAACTTGAATATAAAATTTTCTCTTAAAATGTAAAGCCCAACATAGGGTAGGCTGAGGTTGTCTCTGAGCTTCTCAGAATCCGACACCTCCTACTTTTCTTCCTTTGACCCACTAATAAATGTTCAACATTGAGCTTTCTCCTTGAAAAATTCTTACTTATGTTCATTATCTTCTACTTTGTAGTCAAAAGGGTATGAAATCACTGCTTTAATCGAGAGTTTTCTTAGGAGCTTCTCTCCTAGGATGTAATTAACTATAGAAGCTTGCTCCTATAGGGATTTGAGAACCCCAGACTAAAATAAACCTTGTTTTATTCGTATAAAATAAGGGAAGAATCTTTGGGAACGTAGATATTTTTAAAACCTTATTTCTAATTTTGAATGGACTTGTAGAATGTTATTATTATCTTTTTAGATAATATAATATTATACTTGTTATATTCAACTTTAGAAATAATGAATTTTATAAAACTCATTCTCGCTTTTGGATATCTTGAAGAATGTTATGTTCGTCTTTTAAGATGATATAATATTTTTCTTAACATATCTAAATAAAAGAATGAATAAATTTTTTTTTTAAAAAAAACGTGTTTCTATTTTTAAACATATTCTATAGAATTTCATGTTCATCTTTTGAGATGATATGTTATTCTTTGAACTATGTTTGATTATAGAAATATCAATTTTCAAAACCATATTTTGATATTGAATCCATTGTAGAATATTGTGTCGGCCTCTCGAGACTGTACTTTATTCTTAATGAATTATTCGATTACAAAATAGGAGAAATCAAAATCTGCGTGGTGACACAATTTTTCCCACCAACAAGTTTGGCACATAATACATTGTGGGCTGAAGAGAAGTCTCTCATAACTTCAGCCGCTAAAAGGGTATTTTCCGTAGAACACCTTCCCTTAACGAACCCAACTTGACTATCATGAATAATGAAAGGCAACACCAATTTAATTCTGTTGGCTAAACCTTTAGCCACAATTTTGTAGAACACATTGCAAAGGGATATAAGTCTATAATCATTGGCATTGGAAGCATGAGGGCCTTTGGAGATTAAAATATTAGCCGAGGCTTTGACGCATTGAGGAAGATGCCCATACTGATAAAAATTCTTGACAACATTACAAACCTGTAAACCAATAACGTGCCAAGAGAGCTTGTAAAAAGCAAAGGTAAACCCATTTGGCCCCGGGGCCGTTGCTTTGACAAGTAAAAATCGCTTATTTAATATCCTCATTTGAGAATGGAGCCTTGAGCGAAGGGATTAGGTTATCTGGAATAACATTCCCAGGAGGAATGTTAAAGTTGAGACATTATGAGGCTTGGGGACATTGTAAGATTCTTTAAAATGGCTAATAAGACCCTCGGCAGTGTCCCTGTGATTAGTGTGATGACCCATAGAGGTGGAGATTTCCCTGATGCTATTAACATTGGCCCTGACACAAATTTTGGTATATAAGAAACCAAGATCATCCTCCCCTTTAGTAAGCCAATATTTTATAGCCCTTTGAGAAATCCAGGAAGCCCAAGAAGCTTGGAGCTTAAGTAAATGTTCCTTAATGGTCTTCAGGTTAAGGTTGAGATGTGTGTCCAGAGGAGAATTTTGAAGCGCCAAAAGACAAGCATGCTGTTTACTTTTAAATTCCAAGATGGAGTTAGAGAGATAATTGGGAGAAGTCAAAGACTTGCTCTTTAATTTAGCTTTGAGACTTTGAAGGTTTCTATAGAAGGAGGCAGTGGGGCTGCAATTGTTGTTTGAGATGAGTCCAAAACATCCTCCCAATAACCATCCATATGAATCCATTAGTTTTTAAAAAGGAAACGGCAAGGCGTGTTGGAACGGGGTGCAACAAATAAATGAAATTATAAGATGGATAAGAGGGGGGGGGGGTTGAATTGTGAAAACTTTTTGATAATAGTTAAAACCTAAGCAGGAGTTCTAATATTTTTGATGTTTTAAAATTTTAACATGAAAATTTAA